AAGAGAGCACCAGTAAGAAGGCGCGCCCGATCGGGTGAGCGTTAGCTCGATCGGGCGAGGCTGCCCAGGTGGATCGTGAAGAAAAAGGCGGGCCCGATCAGGCGGCCCTTTGCCCGATCGGACGCATGTTTTCTCAGAGCTTATTAGTTTAGTTTTAATTTTTGTATTTGTTTTAGGGAATGTTTAAGTAGGAGATTTGTACGTAATTTTTTATTACCTTCTTTCTTAGAATTTCTCTCTCTACTTAGGATATTTCTCTCTCTTAAATTCTCTCTCAACTTTTGTTCTTAATTACTTCCATTAATCCAGTTTTCTTTTGGTAACAATTTCTTCTCTTTTAATTTCAGCTATTTTACTTACTTCTTTGATTATGCTTTGCTTTATTTATTTGATTAGTTTTGTTATGATGATGCTTGAGTAGTTTTATTTCAAGGGTTTATGGGGATCTAATAAATGATATGAAAGCGTAATTTTGTGATTGTTAATTATCAATGCTTGGTTAATTTCCTATTGATTGATTTAATGCTATGCAATTAGGTTTGGCCAGATTTAGTTGTATGAGTTTAGCAATATTAATTCGAGATTCGACAGATGAGAATTGATGTTTAGGCTTAGTTTCAATAGGCGCACTAATTTATAAATGGTTAAGTCGAGATTCGATAGATGAGATTTAATACCGGTAAATTAACTCTATGATTATAATACGTAGCGAAAGCCCTTTATAATCTGATTAACCAATGCTTGATAATTGCTTATTATTATTTGCCCTGGAATATTGTTTATTAGTGCACCTATGCCCTAGCTCTTTTATAATTTGATTTTTCCCTACTTTATTTCTTTCGACCTTATTCTCCGTAGTATAGAATTTATTCACAATAATATTGGTATCTTAGATAATTTAGATTATAATAATCAATTCGGAGTAAAAAGACTTGTTTCCCTGTGGAGTTATGTTCGACCCTACTTCCCTATCTACTTTAGTTAGAGGACTTAGGTAATTATTTTTGATTAGGGGATACGACTTTACCCTATCAGATTGTCTGGAGTAGCAGTCAAAGGGTCCCTCCATTTTTCAGCCAGCCAAAGGATGCGCTTGTCCAACTTGTCATAACCTGAAAAGGAGAAAACACGAAAATAAAATAACATAAGGAACAAATCAAAGAAGAAAAAAAAAACGGAATAAAAGAAGGCCAAAAGCTTACCAGCCTCATGTATATAAGACAAAAGCATGGTAGAGAGCTGCTTGTTGCCCACAATGTATATAGAGTTGGGCAGCCAAATCTTGGGAAACTTTTAATCACCAGTCCTTGCTCCCTGCAAGGAATCGAAGGCTTTCATCTCCCAGGCAGACTCGTAGGAGGAAACAGTAACCCCAGCCATGTTAGTACGAATCTCCCTGAAATTGTGTGGCGCAGCAAAAGAAGAGGGCACCTTCACCAAGAAAACTTGCCAGTCCAATCCCTTAAGCGACTAAGCTTTAGGTAAGATAGAACCCTGCCTTTCTTGGGAGCAACGTAGTACCACCCAGACTCTGTCCCTGAAGCTGACCTCTTCAGGCTCATTAGGGACTTGAACAGGTGCAAAGACTCAGGGTACCTCCGAAACCGGAGGAACCATAGTAGGCAAATCAAAGTATGAAGAGAAGCAGGATGCAGCAAGGATATGAAAATATTGAAAGCACGGAACACCTTCTCCAGAGTAGGGTCAAAGGGAAACCTCAGACCCAAATCCAGTTGACACGCAAACACGACAATATGCCTATCAAGGGGAGCAGATAGCTTTGCACCATCAGAGGGAAAGATAAACTTATAGCCCTCACCAAAACCATAAAACTTCTTCCCAACAGAAGTAAGGTTCAACTTTTTAGCGTCCTTGCACCAGCTGGAATCCAGCACGCAGTTCTTGGGCCCATACCACTTGTCATCCAGAAAGAACTCAGTCTTGCCTTCCTCTCCAGGCTCCGCAACAGAAGTAGGTAGGCAATCGAAAAGAGAACGATCACCTTGTGACTTAGTCAAACCTGCCTGATTGGACAGCTGGAGAGGGAGAGGGTGATGAAGTCTCGACGCTGCCACCCCGCAATACATAATGATAAAACTGATTCATATCAGCCATGTCATCAAGCCAAGAAAAACTAACAAGAGACACGTCAGGGGGATTAGCCTTAACGGCATCGGCTAACATCTTATGTCGCATTGTGCGCAGCCTTAATTGGGTGAGGTGGGACAAAGGAATCCCATCCTTAATAAGCACCCGCTCACAGTAGGGATCAAAGAAATCAGGATAAGGTTGCGTAGAATAGGGAAAAAAGCACTACCCTTAGCGGGACGACTACTGCCTGACCCAGATGCAGTAGTAGGAGTCGTAGCAGTACCCGTCCCGCCCGCATCGGGGGGACAATAAAAAGGCATAACCGTTTTTACAGGAGTTGGGGAATAAGAACGAGAAACACGAGGAGTGTGCGCTTGGCGCTCACCTGAAGGAGATGATTAGGTAGGAGAATCCGATTTAGTGGCCACTTGAGGCTCACTTATGTTATGACTAACAGAAGCGTCGGACATTACAAAATCTACAAAGACAAAAAGGCCACATAGAGAAGAAAAAAGCAACGGGGCACCGAAATTCAAAGATCAGTTTAGAAAGACAGGAACAATGAAGGAATTAAGGAAAACAACCAAGAACGTAATTACAACAACAAAAAGGGGGAAAAATTAGACAATGACAATTAGGGTTGTATAGGATAGCTCCTGCTGAACTATCGCCCAGCCCCATGGTGCGCACTCACTACCGAGAAAGCAATTAAGGAGGGCACATCAGCCTGGTGGAGTCAGCCCGCAGGGCTGACCAGGCTGAACACTATACGAAGGAGATGGTACGCCTATAAATAGTGGGTAAATTACAACGGAAAAGGGGTTACACACTCAAGTTATTATACTTTCTACATCTCTCTAAGTACACTTTCTCTCTCTAAACACTCTCTAACTTAAGCTTCGGAGGGGGGTTCCTCGAGCCACCCTCGAGGGTAATTTACGTGTGTTGCCTTGTGTAGGTTGTTGATGGGACCCAGCTCACCTGGCAGAACCCTTGGATCCATACCTGGAACAATTGGCGCTAGAAGGAGGGGGAAGGAGGGGAAGGATCATCTAACCTAAGGTTCACCAGCTGAGCTAGGGACTACTTAACTAACCACCATGGCCAGGGAAGAAACTGTACCGACACCCATGTCCAAAGCTAATGACACCAACCAAACACCACAAAAAACACCCTCAGTAACCCTCGATCCTAAAGGATCCACCAGAAATCCCAAATCGACCATCTCTTAGAAATCCAACCCCATCAGATCGACATCGGCTGCAGCTAAAGCGTCTTTTAAACCAGTCAATCCGGCAGGATCCAGTTCCATTTTCAATTACGGAATGTCGTTAACTGGCGCAAACAATGAACTCATTGTTTCAACACCTGTAACCCAGAAACCGCCGCCCGTAAATATGTCAACCATCCTGCAGAACCTCTCTAAGTGCAGTAAGGAGAAACTGGCAGCAATGACGACGGTCCTTAGAAAAATGGGTAAGGAGGCGAATTCGTCACCGACAACGGCAACTGCGGAGCCCCTAACTAAGCAGCCGACTTCCTCAGCCCTCACCCATGAGCAAAAGGAGCTCATTCAGCTGAGGGAGAGGGTATTGGAGTTGGAAGCTCGTAATCTGAATCGATAATGGAGCGTGGAGGAAATAACTCCGACTTAGGTCAGCCAGGAGAAGCTGGTCCCCCGCAGCAGATCGCCAACCTTAGAGCGGGGACCTAGCTCAGTGAGAGACAAACGAGCGCGAATCCAGGTTGTTCCAGATGATTCCCCATTTTGCCGGGAGATTCTAGAAGAACCAATGGAGAAGGTAAAGATGTCGAGCTGCAAATACAACCGAACAACAACACCCAAAAGCCACATATCAGCTTTTGAGAACCACATGGTATTTTATTTTATGATGGACTCAGTCTGGTGTAAGGCGTTCCCGCCGACCCTAGACGGCTGGCAGGGGAGTGGTATGGAGCTATTCCCAAATGTTCCATATACTCGTATAACCAACTGAAGAGAATGTTCATGGATCATTTCATAACCCTAGTAGACCAAACTGAAATGATAACCGGGCTGATGTCATTAGTTCAAGGGAAAGATGAGCCCCTGAGGGAGTTTATAACCAGATTCAATAAAGAGACAACAACCATCCCAAATATGTGTCAAGAGGTAGCACTACTAGTAATGTAGAGAGGCTTACTACAAGGCTCACCAATCAGAGCGTATATGGGGCGTAAGAGCCTCAAAACACTTGTTGAAGCGCTAGGTAAAGCGCACGAGTTCATCAAAGAAGACAAGACTGACAGAGCAATGCTGAGTAGGAAGGCACCAGGTGACTCAGTTAAGCGAGTAGAGGTCACCCGGGCAAAGAAAACACCCAGGGCTGACCAACCGAGCAGGGCCGAGCAAAGTCACATAGAAGTAGACAGAGTAGTGGGGGTGAGAAGGTCAGACCCCAAGAGAGGGCCAAGGTCTGGGAGGTTCGACCAATATACCCCACTAAACCACTCAAGGTCTCATATATTCAGCGTGAATAAAATTGATGATAAGTGCCAAAGACCCCCAAGGATGGTCAATAGGAACCGTGATACCAGCAAGTGGTGTGACTTCCACAGAGACCATGGCCACACCACTTAGGAATGCACACACTAGAGGGATAACATAGAAGATTTAGTCAGGAGAGGGTACCTGAATCAGTTTCAGCAGCGCGATGACCCTCCCTGAAGGAGGGACGAGGATAGAACAGGCCGCGCTGACCGCAGAGGAGGTCATAGGGGTCCCGCTGGAGACGGAGACAGAGATGGCAAGCCAAAAAGCAGGGCATATGTGATCAGTGGGGAAGACCAGTGCATGGAGGAACAGTTAACAGAGCACGGGGTGACCTGCGGACGATGATACATCAGATAAACGACAATGAGAAGCATAGATGGCCACCTCTTCTCTCGCACCACGAGCCATGTTTGACGAGCATGACCAGAACGACATAATTTACCCTCATGATGACCCACTGGTAATGATAGTGAGAATTGCAAACTGGGAAGTGGATAGGATATTGATAGATGGAGGCATCTCAGCCAACATCACATACATTAACGCGTTCAACGAGCTGAAGTTGGACAAGAAGGATCTAAAGAGGGTGAGTTACGAAGTCACCGGGTTTAATAGATCAGGGTTAAACCCGGAAGGCATAATCGAGCTCTCAGTCCGGGTAGGAGAGAGATCAAGAAGGCGTGATGTTGGAGCAGAATTCCTTATGATAAACTCTCCTTCACCCTACAATGTGATCATGGGAAGACCACTCATCTACAAGATAGGCGGAGTGGTATCCACCTATCACCTTGCCATGGCCTACACAACTAATGAGGGACAATTAGTAAAGCTCAAGGGAAGCAAGAAAACAGCTCAACAATGTTACATAACTGCCCTAAAGCAGCCCACAAAAACCAGATAGCAGCCTTGCTCAAAGAGAAGGCCCCCTGAGTAGGCTGAGAGGAAGTCAAGGAAAAGGAAGCGTGAAGAATATCATAGGGAAAAGAATAAACAGAAGTTAGCAATGGAAAACTATGAGCCTGCAAAAGATTAGATAGCTAGACCACTTTCCAGTGCGGAGCATGTCATAGTCGAGCTCACAGAAGGTGACCCCTCCAGAACGGTGAAAATTGGGAAAGACATTGATCCAGGAGTAGGGGTACACCTCATAGAGCTGCTGAGGAAGAACAAGGATATTTTCGCATTTTTCGCAGCTAAGATGCCCGGAATTGCCCATGCGGTCATGGTACACAGGCTGAATGTGAAGGAGGATATTAAGCCAGTTATGCAGAAAAAGCGAAGCTTCTCCACGGAGAAAAATCAAAAAAAATCCAGGAGGAGGTGGAGAAACTCTTAGAGGCGGGATTCATTGAACCTTGTGACTACCCAGAGTGGTTAGCCAACGTGGTCATGGTGAAGAAACAAATGGCCAATGGAGAATGTGTGTTGATTTCACATATCTCAATAAAGCATGCACAAAAGACTATTACCCTCTGCCACGGATCGATCATCTAGTAGACTCAACCAGCGGGCATGCCTTACTAAGCTTCATGGACGCCTTCTTAGGGTGCCATCAGATCCGCCTACATGAACCAGATCGGCAAAAAACCGCATTCATCACCAAAGGGGGAGTGTATAATTACATCGCTATGCCCTTCGGGCTGAAGAATGCTGGGGCAACCTTTAAAAAGGCAATGGATAGAGTATTCCTACACCAGAAGGGTAGAAATGTTGAAGTGTATGTTGACCACTTAATTGTTAAGAGCGTCACGCAGGCAGGGCACATCATGGATCTTGAAGAAACATTTGCCACCCTAAACAAGTATAAAATCAAACTCACCATGAAGAAATGTGTCTTTGGGGTGAGCTTAGGAAAGTTCTTAGGCTTTTTTATCAGCGAGAGAGGGATAAACGCAAATCTAGAAAAAGTTAAAGCAATCCTAAACCTGCCAGAGCCTAAGTGCATCAAGGATATCATGCGGTTGACAGGCAGAATTTCCGCGCTGATCAGGTTCATTAGCAAATCAGCGGATAAGGCTCTACCGTTCTATCAGCTACTGAAAGGGAACAAAGAATTTATGTGGGGAGCTAAAGAAAAAGAAGCCTTTGAGGGTATTAAGGAGCATCTAACTAAGCTCCCAACAATAATCAGCCCGGAACAGAGGGAAATGTTGCAACTGTACATCTTTGCATCAATACAGACAATCGCACCCGTGCTGCTGGTGGAAAGACAAAAGCAGCAGAGGCCAATATACTTCGTGAGCCATGTACTGACTGAAGCAGAATAACGGTACCCATTGGTAGAGAAGCTGGACTTCGCAGTGGTCACCACAACAAGGAAACTAAAACCGTATTTTGACGCGCATGTAATACAAATCCTCACAAATCACCCACTGAAAAAAGCGTTACATTAAATGGATGCATTAGGCAGACTCCTAAAGTGAGCAATTGAACTTTCTGAGTACGAATTCGAGGTCAAACCTAGGGCAGCCATCAAGGCACAAGCTTTAGCGGACTTTATAGTGGAAGCCTCCTATTTAGAGAAAGAGGATTATATTGGGGTCTGGAAGGTGGAAGTAGATGAATCCTTAGCCCTAACGGGAAATGGAGCAGGATTCATAATATCATCTCCAAAAGGAAATGTATTCGAGTACGCCATAAAGTTAAAGTTCAAAGCATTAAACAACAAAGCGGAGTACGAAGCAGCACTGGCAGGCCTGCGTATGAGCATCGCAGTGGGAGCCCGCAAAGTGCATCCGCAAACTGATTCTAAGCTCGTAGCCAACCAATTGAAGGGAGCGTACGAGATTAGAGAAGCCAACATGCTGAAATATGTAACTAAAGTAAAGGAGCTGGCAGCTCAGCTAGTCCACTTTCAGATAGACTTAGTTCCCAGTGCAGGAAATTCCCAAGCTTACGCTTTATCTAAGTTAGTCAGTTCAACATTATAGAGCCTCACAAGGACAGTGATGGTTGAAGTCCTAGAGGAAAGCAATATTACTGAAAAGGAGCACGTAAACTGCATTGGACAACAGAGGGCTTGGTTTTAAGACATTCTGGCGTACAAAGTTCATGGCTCGCTGCGCAATGACGAAGTACAAGCTAAGAAGGTTAAGAAGGACGCCAATTGGTATGTGGTGATGAATGGGGAGCTAAAAAAGAAAGGCTTCTCAATACCACCGCTGAGGTGCATCCTTGAGTGGGAGTAGGAAGGCATTATGGAAGAAGCCCACTCGGTAATATGCGCTAACCACATTGGTGGAAAGGCACTTGGAGTAGAAGTCCTCAGAAGCGGGGCATATTGGCCAACTCACACGCAAGACGAGCTAGCATATGTAAAAAAATGCGACAAGTGTCAAAAGTATTCACCAGTTATAAACCAACCGGCAAATGATCTAACTCCAATCCTCAGCCCGATCCCGTTTGTTTAGTGGGGAATGGACATATTGGGACCTTTCTCCACTGGGTCAGCAGGCAAGAAGTATCTCATCGTGGCAGTTGATTACTTTACAAAGAGGATAGAAGCTTAACTTACTAAGTACATAAAGGCAATCCAAGTAAGGACATTAATATGGAAAATCATCATCACAAGATTCGGTGTGCCACAGTGCATAGTCTTCGATCATGGATGTCAGTTCGACTATGACACCATCAAGGACTACCTGGAAGACATGGGCACCAAGTATGCAAGTGCCTCAGTTTGCCATCCGCAGAGTAATGGCCAAGCAAAAGTAGCAAACAAGCTGATCCTAACAGCCTTGCAAAGGAAGCCGGAGGAATACAAAGGCCTATGGGCAGACCTAGTCCTAGTGGTCCTGTGGGAAAACAGAACCAGTGAGAAGGAGTCCACTGGTAAAAGCCCTTTCACTCTAGCTTATGGGGCTGATGTAGTCATCCTAGTAGAGGTGAAAATTCCAAGCCTGAGTATACAACACTATGAGCAACAAGGAAACGAAAAGCGCATGCTGGAAGAGCTAGATTTCCTGCCAGAAGTATGGCTAAAAGCAGCTCTCAAGCTAGCAGCCCAGAAGAGCATGATGTCAAAAGCTTTAAACAAGAGGGTCGAGCATAGAGAGCTTCTTCCTAGAGATTTAGTCCTAAGAAGGACAACAGCAGTGGGAAGAGGAAATCAGCATGGAAAGTTGTCAGCGAATTATGGCTAAAAGCAGCTCTCAAGCTAGCAGCCCAGAAGAGCATGATGTCAAAAGCTTTAAACAAGAGGGTCGAGCATAGAGAGCTTCTTCCTAGAGATTTAGTCCTAAGAAGGACAACAGCAGTGGGAAGAGGAAATCAGCATGGAAAGTTGTCAGCGAATTAGGAAGGCCCTTTCATCGTTCACGAGCAAGTTGAACAAGGAGCATTCCTCCTTGCAGATCAAGAAGGTCAGGTCTTAAGAAAAAGTTTCAATGTCGATATGCTAAAGAAATATTTTGTTTAAAAATCTTGAAAAAACAAATGTAGTAGTTTCAAGTTTGATAAAACCTTTATTCAGTTCATGTTATGTTAATTAAGGCATTTGAGCCATTTTTATTCAATGAAATACAAGCCTCTGCGTGAGGAGTATTTTGCGTAAATCTATTTAATATGTTATGCCCTAGCATCATAGGCTAACATGTAGAAGTCAAACAAGAATAATTATAAAGTGTTAGAGGCAAGAAGCACTCTAGCAAAAAGTGGCAAAGTACCGTTAAAATGACAAGTTAAAGCATCCCTCCCTAAAACCTCACCTCACCTGCTCAAAGAAAAACAGGGCACCACCTCGGGGACGCCTGAGGGGGAGGCCTAACACCTTCAACTTAAGCAAGAGAGAAAAGGGGAAATGAAGAAGATGAGCTACGTGGGCAACACTAAGGTTCTCTTAGTCTCACTTAGCCCACCTCTTTGAGGGGGAGAGGAAAGGATGAGACAGACATACAATAAGCCCTTACGAAAAGAAGTAAGCAGGTACAAAATGACAAGTCACGCATAAACAAGCTTAACGACAGAAATAAGTCACAGCAAAACAAGCTGAATGACATAAAGGAGCAGGTTAAAAACCTTATCAACACATATAAGTCTCAGCATGGCAGATTAAATAACGCATAGTAGAATAAACTAATCAAACCAGTCTCTACAAAAATCAAGTACAATACATAGTGCACAAGCATCCAAAGTAAACAGGATAGGAGGAGCAAAGCTCACCAAGGCTCCTGCTAAGCACAATATGGAGAAGGAGAGCAAAAGAGCCCTCAGCAACTAAATCAGGAAATCAGTGAAGCACCAACCTATGAGGTTTCACCGAATACAACAAAGAGACTGTTGCGCTAAGGTCTAGGTAATGCTACACCTTGGCCCAACGGCAATTATGGACAAATACATGAAATAATCAGTAGGTAAAATGACAGAAGCATTGAGCAAGATAAATCATCATAGTTACAAAGCTGAACCCTTGCCCACCAAGGCAGAGTAAACATCCAGCAAGTTAATTATGACATATGCAACACTAAGCCCTCGTCCACCAAGACAAGGAAACACTCAGCGAATATAGTTGAAAAAATATAAAGTTAAGTCAAGCTGGACAGGTCTAGCAACAAAAGATAAAATGTTCAGCAGAAACACCCCAAAGATAGCAACAAAAACTACTCGGTTACAGCCGCCATAGCCTTTATTGGCCACCCGCCAAAGACTCCACTTTAATAGTCGCAGTAACATCAGGGCAGAGAGGAATCTTCAAGTTCAAAACAGCGTGGTCAGGAACCTTGCAGCTAATAACACGAGGATGATTAGCAGGGAAATCAAATGTGCAAGCCTCTCCCACAACCTCAACCTTAGCCCAAAAAAGTTGAACCGAGCCTGCTGCTCCTCACCCTCACCATTTAAGCTACTTACGCACCGAGCTGCAGCCTCCTATCCACCATCATGGCGATCAGCCAGCAACTTAGC